TTTTTTTTTCTTTAAATCGGAAAGCCATGGTTTGGGGGGTCACTTCATCCAGGGGCCAGTGTTACCTTCTCCGTGTTGTCACAGTGTCGTCAGGAGATTCCCCATCGGCTTAGGCCGCGCAGTGCAAAGCTCCGTGCTGGTGGCGTCACGTTTGTGGAGCATGGTGCCGGTGGCAATCAGCAAAGATTATTTAACCAAATGGCTATTAACCAGAGGACTACATGTTATTAAATGCCTAGACATAAGCTTACATTTATCTCTATTGCAACAGTGCTGGATGTCTTCTTCCCATCGAATAACTGAATATATTTTCCCATCCAATGAAAGCAAAAACTACTCTAAGAACTAGTGCTGTAGATGTGTTTATAAAAGTAAAACTAATCACATGCGCACATGTATTTATTTCAGTATCTTGAGTAAGAGACATGCACCACATTAACTTTATTGGAAATTAAAAGCGACAAAACGAGATGTATCTTCATTAACTTATACATATGCAAGCATCCTCAGAATGCACGGTGCTCTGGACGCTCATAGGGCATTTAGTTCAGCCACTTCAGTCGTTATCTGTTTCTTTTGGTCTCACATACTCTTTAATGAATTCCCAAAGGTTCCTTAAAATACATAAGAAATAAATACCTTAGATTAGCAAAAGGACATTAGGCGTAAAAGAAAATTTCAACAGAAGCATCTGTTTCAGGATACGTTTCCGCAAACACACGAACTGAGGCTTTGCAATGCTCCCCTTCATTTCAGAGGGTGTTCCCGGCAGAGCTTTGGCCTAGAGCCAGCAAAGATTCTCACGACGGATCCAGAAGAGGGTGGCGCCCGAGCAGATGGCCTTTCCACTCTAGACCCATTTACTCTGCTTGCGAGGCTATGGCAGGAGCCCCCAGCCCTGCATTTGCATTTCTATACCTTCCTTCTCCTTTGAGGGCACCTACCCCGTGGCAAAACCAGGGTCCGCCTGTGTGGCTCACTCAGCACCTGCTCTAGCGCCCTTTCCCCGTGACTTTCTCTACCCCGTGAACTGGGAGTGAAATGTTCTATTATCTGGACCCCTTTGCAGCCAAGGGTGGTCTGGGGACGCGGTGCTGACCAATGAGACGCGTAGAAGACGCCGGAAGGGGCTTTTCTTCCTCATGAAACAAGCCTCATGCTGGGAAGCCTTTTGCCATTGCCCTTCCTCTCCCGCCTTCCTCCAGGGCAGGAGGACCCAGCGCCTGAGCGGCCATCAGAGAGGCTGAGAACTAGACTCCAGGAGAACGCGGAAGATAGAAGAGCGCGGTGTTTGACATCACTGAGCCCAGCCCACATCTGATTTGCCTTTTGACTGTTGATACCAACATGCCCTTTCATATCTACGTCAATGGTTTTCTGTTGCTCCCAGCCTTGCCAAATTGTAAGATGTGAACCGTATTACAAACTCTAAGAACTTCAACTATATAAAGTCTCAACTTATGTGACAGATAATATAAACCAGCCATTTTATTTTTCAATTAAAAGCTTTAGAGCAGTGGTTCCCAACCTTCCTAATGCTGCAACCCTTTAATACAGTTCCTCATGTTGTGGTGACCCCCAATTTCATTGTTACAAATTGAACATAATTAAAGCATAGTGATTAATCACAAAAACAATATGTAATTATATATGTGTTTTTTGATGCTCTTAAGCGACCCCTGTGAAAGGGTCATTCGACCCCCAAAGGGGTCGCGGCCCACAGGTTGAGAACCACTGCTTTAGAGTAATGCATGTATAGAGTTTTTTGGAAGATTTAATATCAATAAACACCACGTAATTTGAGGAGGGAAAAGCCACTCACAGCCACAAGTCTCCCTAGCTTCCTGATCCCTGCCCATGAGAATCAACCCTTGACTCTTCAGCTTTTTTCAAAGTATTTATTTTTACATAGATGATATAGATAGGTAGATAGATAGATAGATATAGAGATAGATATAGATAGATGATAGATAGATGATTGATAGATATAGATAGATAGGTATGTAGGTAGGTAGATAGATAGATAGATAGATGATATAGATAGATGGATGATAGAGATAGATGATAGATTAGATAGATAGATGATACATGAAACATGAGAGATGATAGATATAGATATAGATAGAGGAGAGAGGGAGAGAGAGAGAGAGAGAGAGAGAGAGAGAGAGAGAGAGAGAGACTTAAATCTTGGGCTAATCATTGCTAAGCATAGGAGGGGGTGTAACATTTCTATTGAAAGTTAAGACGCATGAATATAAATGCTTCACAAGTACTGGTCTCGTCTAATTTCAAACACACGGTGTGAGAACACGCGATTGTGCCGGTGCTTTTTCACGGCATCGGGACTTACCGCTGCTCCTCCCCACTCAGCTCACTCCTCCCCAGGAACTGCTTCACCTGGTTTTCAGCGGTCTGCCAAGAATTAAAAGTCATCTGGTCATGTATGCCGGCAACGAAAATGCATCCAAATAGATGCCACTTCTAGAATCGGGCATAACATTCTACTTCCCACTATGTGTAATACAGAGAGAGATGCATACACGATAGAAACAGAGTTATCATCAATTAAGCAGAAAATTGTTAGCAGGCATTTTGGAAGGGAATCCTGAAAGTTGTTTGAGGTGCCAGTCCATTATATTTCCTGTAACCAAATCAGCTCATTAAAAGTAAGTATTATGTGCGGAAGGGTTAGAGAAATAGTAAATTCTGACAGACACATTCAACTATTTAGAAGGATTGTTTAATACATTAGCTTACATCTCTCTAGAGAGAAGCTAATATCTACATAGCCAGCTATTCCTAGCATTACAGAAAGTTATCGTTTAGAAAGCTAATGCATGTATTCTAATTCGATTTTTGACATAGTACAAGAAGGGACTGGAGAAAAAATGGTTCTATTGAAAAGCATTGATTCACAAAAACTTACATCTATTTTCTTCTTTAAAATAATATTTGCTCTTTCCAATTTTATAGTTTCAGTCTGTAGGGGAAAATGATTATAAGAGAAAGATACCTGGTTAATAATATTTATTACATAGTTTCCCCATTTATGGAACAAAATGTATTAGGCTGTTATTCTGATTCCAAAATATGAATTGCACACCACTTACAACAGATGAATGAAAAAGCATGACTGGGGATGATTACCCTGGTACCTGGGTGATCATCTAGAAGAGGGGGAGACTGGTGTTGGAAAAGACCAGAGAATTTTAGGGAAATTTCAGAATAGAAGATTCCCTCACTTTTCAGAACTAATAATATAATTAGTTAAGGTGACATGATACAATATAAAAATACAAATATCAACAAGTCACATATATACTAGAAATAACTGATTATAAACTGTAATGTAACAGTTAAAGTTTTCATACACAATAGTAACAGATGCAATAAAGTCACAAAAATAAACATAACAAAAAATATTTAAAAGCAATGCAGAAAATTAAATTAACATAAACTGATCCTTGATGGGAATGTTAACATTATAAAGCTGCCACTTGGCCCCAAATCCTATATAATAAATGCCTAACATGCTAAGTGTCCAGTCACCTGGTCACCCGTTCAACCAATCAAAGCATAATATGCTAATGATAGGCTAAGGCCGCTCAACTGCTCACTATGACGTGCACTGACCTCCAGGAGGCAGACAGTTCACCAGTCAACCAGTCACTATGATGTGCACTGACCACCAGGGGGCAGACAAGTGCATATATATTTATATAGCAGTGTCTGGTACATAGGAGGTACTGAATACATATTTTTGAATTACTTATTTTTATTAAGCTGCACTGAGAGCTTCATATATGTTATCTCTGGTATTCTGAGATAGCTTCACAAAATCCTATATAATAAAAGCCTAATATGCTAAGTGTATGGTTGTCTGGTTGGCCAGACACTTAGCATATTCAACCAATCAAAGAGTAATATGCTAATGAATGCTAAGGCCACTCAACCACTTGCTATGATGTGCACTGACCACCAGGGGGAAGATGCTCTGACCGGTAGGTTAGCTTGCTGCTGGGGTCCAGCTGATTGGGACTGAGCGAGAGGGGCTGGACATGCCCTGGCCGACCTCCCATGTCCCTCCCCAGCTGGCCAACCTCCCGTGTCCCTCCCCGGTCCCGATCATGCACCAGTGGGGTCCCTTGGCCTGGCCTGTGCCCTCTCTCAATCTGGGACCCCTTGGGGGACGGCAGAGAGCTGGTTTCAGCCCAATCCCGCAGGCCAGGCCGTGGGACCCCACTGGTGCACAAATTAGTGCCCCAGGCCTCTAGTGAATTTTTAAATTCATTGGAAACCCAGTCAAAATGCCAAGAGGACTATTATTGAGACTCAAAAATGTAGTTAACCCTATGAATTAAAATATCCAACATCATTGTGAACAAATAATGATGAGCAGGGGTTGTAAAGACTTGCTCTTCCAGATATCCAACTTGTAAAGGATTGGCAATTACATCAGCGAGGCTGCACAGTATATAATTAAGACCTTGGGCTGCGTTTAAATCCTCACACTACTCCCTGCTCCCTGTGTCCCGAATCAAGTTACACAGCGTGTCTGTGCCCTGGTTTCCTCGCCGGGAAAGGAGGCAATAGCAGCAGCTATCGCTTACTGCCTCTACGGGCTGCCGACATTAACTGAAATGCATTTTTAAATGTTTGCAGCAGTATCTGGTGCATTGTTCATCGCTGATCCATTCAGTTATTTTTCATTGGGTTAGAAACAATGTATTATTTGAATTTAGGAGCCAAGTATGAGTAATAAAAAAAACTAATATAAGTTCATGATATGGAATCATTATAGGGCGTCTTCTATTTCATTGATTCAAGCCATTTAAAGAGATGATAATTATGAAAGGAAAGTTCATATGACTTTGGCATCATGTTTATAATATGTAAAGCTATAACTTTATTATTTTCAGTTTAAAAATTCAACTATAAATTAGTGTCTGTTCTCAGGACATTATTCAGTTTTTTTTAAAAAAGAGAGAGAGAGAGAGAGAGAGAGAGAGAGAGAGAGAGAGAGAAGATTCTAAAGGAAGACACAGAAGGAAGTCTGAACATATGATTTTAAGAGAGAAAGAGACATCAAAGCAAGTCTGGACCACTACCACCTTCCCATATACTTTGTAATTCTGCTTAAAAGGAAGAAAAAGTGGTGCTGGCAAAATATATGTAACCATGTAACCACAATAAGAAAGAATAATCCCGTGCCAATGATAAACTCTGTAACTAGAGGTTAAATTGAGTCAGATTCTGCTCAAATAAAAGTGAGGAGATAACACAGGCACCACAGCATTTTAAAACAGACTATGATGTACAATATATTATTGTTCAACAAAGTTGATACAGTCATTGCCAAAACTGCTTTTAACGCAGTAGACTCTCCTTTCAATGGACCTCACTCACTCAGGCCCCGCTGCCCGCGGAACCGCACAGCTAACTCCAAGTCTAACTTTGAGGCCAACATGTCGCAGCAGAAATTACAGGGGCTGGAGCCCCAACAGAATTAAACTTGAACCCAACTTTGTCACCTCTATACGGTTCCATAGTGGGCGGGTCACCTGACTGCTCTGAGCTGCACTTAAACTACTTAGGACACACTCGACACTAAATGATGACTGTTCATTCTATAATGAGAATTTTCTATACAAAACACTAAACTTTTCAACGGACCTGAAAGAGATTTGACCCTTAACTGAACTCTACAGAATTGTTTATCACCTTCATTTTGTTTTGTTTGTTTAGATCTCTTAATTATTCTAAGCATTTCTTCATCATTGGCTACAAATGTCTATACACGTGAAACCTTAAGCGGCCGGAACAACCAGAACAACCAGGATGACCAGAACGGCCAGGACGACCAGAATGACCAGTCGCTGTGAAGTGCACTGTGGGGGGCGGGGATGGCTGGCCAACCTCCTTCAGCCCCTCTCCCCACCACCCCAGCCCCGATAGGCCCTGATCAGGGCAGGGCCGCCTGGGCCCCATCTGTGCACGAATTCGTGCACCAGGCCTCTAGTTTTGAAATAAAAATATATTTGCACCAAATTTTATGTAATTGTTTATCCTGTTGCAAATGAGGTCACTTCACGCAGTTGCAACGGTTGGCAAGAGAAGGAACAATGCCAGCATGGAAATTGCGTACCTCGATGCTCTTGACCCTGCTCTCAGCGATTTGTAAAACCCCGGTGTGCACCAGGGTGGTTTTCATTTCTTGCTCCAGAGCTTGGATCTCGTCCAGCTTCTGGAGGACTTCGCACCGCTTCCTCTCCACCTGGTCGGTCAGCGTGAGGTGCTCCTCCTCCTTGCTCACGTGTTTCTCAGAAGATTCTGGAGGTATTTGTTAAAAGCAAAATATTGCTGTGTTCACTATCACAGCCCTCAGTGATGATGTTATGCATTATTAACAACATTACGTCTCACATCGCTAATCTGTGATAGCTATAAAATATAGTGTAGCCCAAACTCCAAGCCGCCAACAAAAATGATGGGATTGAGGGATGGGGTGTCATCCTTTAATCCCTTCATGTACCAGTAAGTGTTTCTCGGGTGGCCACTGTGAGCAGCTAAGACCAAACAGGGAAAACACAGGGCAACGTAGCCAGAGGCATGGGACTGCACTGAGACTCGACAGACCGGCGTTACACAAGCGAAGGGGCGGGGGAGCCGGAAGAGCAGGATCCCGCACTTTCACTGAACAGGTTACCCCGTGGGGCGGGGGCTGAGCACCAGGGCGAACATCGAGAGGTGATGCTGGGAAGAGGGGAGGCCCATCTGAAAAGGCGTAGAACCTGCGTGAAGAAATCAGTGGAGGGCTTTTCAGCTGGAGAGAAACAAATGCCCCTGGGAAGACAGACAGACAGACAGACAGCAGGTGAGGCATTGCCCTGGAGAGACAGACAGACAGACAGCAGGTGAGGCAATGCCCTAGGGCGTGGGGCGGGGGCTGAGCACCAGGGCGAACATCGAGAGGTGATGCTGGGAAGAGGGGAGGCCCATCTGAAAAGGCGTAGAACCTGCGTGAAGAAATCAGTGGAGGGCTTTTCAGCTGGAGAGAAACAAATGCAGACAGACAGACAGACAGACAGCAGGTGAGGCATTGCCCTGGGAAGGATGAGGAGCAGGAAGACCAGGGACTCTGGCTGGAACCTCGAGGGCAAGCCAGCTCAGAGCTCGATGCAGGCAGGTCTGTGAGGACACCGTCCGCGGCCCAGAGGGAGCCGTGGTCCCGTGTGAGTCACCGAGCGGCGTGTCACACACATGGAGGGAAAGGGCATCGGACGGAATCGGTGTGAACAGTGAAGGTTAATGAGCAACAAACCTCCCGGAGCTGCTTTTGAGTATTTAATCAGGTGAAATGTGCATCTAATTCTACGGTAAATTTTAATACGTATGTAATGCGGCGATATTTGTAAACTGTAATCCCTTTGCCACGAACTGTTTTCCTCACAAGAAACAAGGACACAAAGAAGATGAATGGGCAGTGATCCCGCTGCCCCAGACTCTGTGCCTCCCGTGGTCGGTCACCACGTTTCCTCCTCCATCACCTGAGGGGGAAGCACTGCCTGCTCCGACTCGCTGACTGAGACTCACAGCTGAGGCTCCTGAGGCCGAAATAACAAAGCTAGGAACCGGGACGGCCACGGCCATATCGCCGGGCCACGCTGCCAGCCCACATCACCGGGCCACGCTGCTGGCCCATATCACCGGGCCACGCTGCCGGGCCACATCACTGGGCCATGGCCAGCCCATATCACCGGGCCACGCTGCCGGGCCACATCACCGGGCCATGGCCAGCCCATGTCACTGGGCCACGCTGCCAGCCCATATCACCGGGCCATGCTGCTGGGCCATATCACCGGGCCATGACCAGCCCATGATGTCACCAGGGAGGCGCCCTGGGAGGGGGTCCCGGCAATGGGCAGAGGTGGAAAATGTGTGTGCAAGGCAGATGGCGCCTCCAGCACGGACAGCCTTAGAAACGCCTTGCAGTCTGGAAAGCTGACTTCTTTGAGCCGGGACTAAGAATGAGAAGGTTCTGGAAACCAGAATGGACTGTCTTCATTGCCGTGACCCTGACCACCACAGGAGACCGCGGCCTCTCCCAGGTCATCCCCACGTGGCGACTCTGGATAGCACTCCCGGGCCGCGCTCGCGTCGGTCGTGTATTAGACCCCGTCTGCAGGGGAGACCCCTTAGTCCTCGCCATCCTCCTGAGCCGGACCCCGAGTCTATGTCACTGTCAGGCTCTTCAGGATCCGCTCCCAGTGTCTCGTTAAAACCTGACCTGACTCTCTACACAAGGTCCCCACTTCGTCCCCGGGAAACCACACAGACCTGAGAGAGCAGGAAACAGTGGCCCGTGTTCCCTGTTTCTGGGGACATGAGCCGACAGGCTGCCCAGCCCACAGGAGTGGGGAGAGCGGTCCGCACCCTGAACAGGCTCTCGGGCACCCAGGCCGTGTCTAAAGGACCTCAGCGAAAACACTGCCAGCAGCCCGGCCGGCAGGGTCCGGGGCTGAGCGGCGACCTAGGAACCAGGAGGTCACAGTTCAATTCCTGGTCAGGGCACATGTCTGGGTTGTGGGCTCGGTCCCCAACAGGGGGTGTGCAGGAGGCAGCCGATCCATGATTCTCTCATCATTGATGTTTCTACTTCTCTCTGGAATCAATAAAAAGATATTTTAAAAACACTTCAATCAAATTAAACTCACTGTGTTTCTAAAGAACTTGATGGGAAAACTCAGTAAAATGGGATCATTTCTATGAAAAAAAAAAAGAGAAATACCCTCTGACATCACGAACGGCGGGAGGCCCTGGGCAGCAGACCGGGTTGGGAGCTCCGCACCCAGAGGTGGCGGGCCAAGCGGGAGAGCATCGGGGACTTGCCTGCCTTCTCCTGCGCGCATCGCAGCCGCCGCCGCTCCTCCGCCAGCTCGCCCCGGAGCCTGAGAGTGAGGACAACACAGCCCGGTTAGAGCCCTCCCTGCCTCCCTCCTCTCGTCTATTTTCTGTCCTTTTGGAAATTGAGAAATAAAAACTAATCTTCTTTGCAACAAAAAGGGTCGTAGGAGGTGTCTGTAGAGCGAGAGCTGGGGTCGGGCCTGTTGAAGACACCGGAGAGCTATGCTGCTGAGTCTGCGAGCCCGCCACGTGGGAGCCGGTGAGCGGGACCAGTTATCTGCCACAGTGTGTACCGGTATGACTTTACAACCTGAATTCCTAAAAAACTAGGCGGCACAAACCTAGCATTTTAGATTCTGGGCAAACACGTCAAGAGCCACGGAGAGGTCTCCCTGAGGCTGGAATGAGATTTCACCTCCCCTCACCACAGCAGCAGCTGACAAATCCCACTCTATTTCAACTAAAAATAAAATACAAGAGATTTAACCTGCTTCTCACCTCTATCATTGCCATTTCGGGATGTTTCTCTCCCACAGGCAGGCGCTCTGGGAGGTCTCCAGCAACCCCCGTGCCTCCTCACTGGGCACAGCCCCTCTCCCGGGCCCTGGTTTGCGAGCCTGAGGCTCAGGGCTCCATGCTCCGACCCCCACACTGCCCTGCTCTCCCAGCTGAGCAGAGGGCGACCTGGTGACATGACCTCCTGGCGCCTGACGCTGGCTTTCTGTTTTCAGGGGTTTTGACTTTTCCGAAGGCTGTCGTCTCCCAGTCACGGAAGCTATGGTTTGTTGAGTTTTTGTCTTTGTTTCTTGTTTTGTTTTCTTGAGGATATTCTGGGGGTGTCAGATTTGCCTAATTTTTTTAATCGTTTACAAGTCATTTCCTCCAGAAAGACTAGCACCCAAGAGGTTAAGGGGATGGTTTAGGTTAAAGACACAATCAGGGCGTCCATCAGGGGTGTGCTGACTTTGCAGCTCCCACCCATCAAATGAAGTCCTCGGGGATCCCCAGAGGAGACATGAGAACTGCAGCGACACCCCCTCTCAGAGCAAGGCCAGGCCTTCGAGGTCCCAGGCCCACGGGGTGGTGTGTGAGGAGGCGGGGGACAGGCATGCGGGGAAAGGCCGCACCTCACCCGGGGATGCAGGAAGGACGTAACATGCCCGTGTCACACACTAAACACTGTAAACGGTGAGAGTAACATATGTGTGTCACATGCTGTAAACACTGTAAACGGTGAGAGTAACGTGTGTGTCACACACTGTAAACACTGTAAACGGTGAGAGTAACATATGTGTGTCACACGCTGTAAACACTGTAAACGGTGAGTAACATACACGTGTCACATGCTGTAAACACTGTAAACGGTGAGAGTAACGTGTGTGTCACACACTGTAAACGGCGAGAGCAGAAGCAGGGAGTGAGTTGGTGACCTCACCTGTCGTTGTGCTCCAGGGCCGCGTTGGTGGCCGCCACGAGTGCCCTCAGCTCCTCCCGGGCCCGGGCGACATCCTCCGTCTTCACCGAGCTCGTCACCAGCCCTCTGGCCTCCTCCAGCAGAGTCTGCGTGGGACACACAGGAGAGGGTGTCCCTTGTCCGGCTAGTCCAGTGCAACCAGGCTGTCCTGAGCCCAGACATCAACTCATGTGAAAATCGGCCTGGCCAGGGGGCTCAGCGGGTGAGCGTGGACCTAGGAACCAGGAGGTCACTGGTTGGATTCCCGGTCAGGGCACAGGCCCGGGTCTCAGGGTTCGTCCCCGATAGGGGGCGTGCAAGAGGCAGCAGATCCGTGATTCTCTCTCATCATGGATGTTTCTATCTCTCCCCCTCTCCCTTCCTCTCTGAAATCCATTTTTAACAGATATTTAAATTCCAGTGAAAGTGCTCAGTGGGGAGGACTCGGGTGTGGGGAAACATGGAGGAGGGACAGCTAGTCCCGTGAAGACCCGGAAAACACACTTCTCACTGTTGTAAGGTTTTAGTTTACAGGAAATGTTTTCCATGGTGCGTTTCCTGCTGGTGTGCATGGGGAGGGCATGCTGGTCAGACGCTCAGGCAGGCCCAGCCCCGTCCCAGCAGCTTCAGGGGCCTCCCTCACACCCCTGCAGTGGCGGGCTTGCTGGTGGTCCCCGACAGCTCCCGTGAGGCCATGGCCTCTCCCAGGAGGGGAGCCGTCAGAAGTTCCCTCCAAAGCCCAGGCCCATGGGGCAGAGGCTCCGCTTCAGGCCGGGGAGCAGAGGTCCCGGCCCTCACTGCCCCCCTATTCATGGGGCAGAGGCTCGGCTTCAGGCCGGGGAGCAGAGGTACCGGCCCTCACTGGCCCCCTATTCATGGAGCAGAGGCTTCGTCAGAGCAGGCCGGACGCAGCGTCAGGACCCCATCCCTCCCTCCCAGCCCCGGGCCCGTCTTGTGAATCAGGTTGTCCCAGAAGCATGGCTGCTGCCCTGGCCCAGCTTAAGAGCAGACATGGTGCCCAGGGAGAGGGGATGGCTGTGTGCCCCGCCCCACCCCTGCCCCTCACCATGAGCAGAAGGTGAAAAGTGAATTCTTTACCCATAATGCCCTTCAGCTAGTCCAAGGTGTAGCTATTCTAAATTATGTAGGCACAGCCCTAGCTGGTTGTCTCAGTGGATAGACCATCGGCCTGAGGACTGAAGGATCCCGGGTTCAATTCCGGGCACATGCTGGGAGGCAGGCTTGATCTCCAGTAGCGGGCGTGCAGGAGGCAGCTAATCCACGATTCTCTCTCATCATTGATGTTTCTCTCTCTCCCTCTCCCTTGCTCTCTGAAATCAATAATATATATATTTTTTAAACGTTTAGATTATGTAGGCACGAATGGGTCTCCTTGGATCCAGATGTCTCTGCTGCTGGTGAATGAGGAAGTACAGGCTCTGCGAGGCCCCGTGTGAGGGGTACCTGGTATTGCTCCGTGGGCTGCGCGCTCAGCAGGACCGCCATGTACAGCTCGTATTCGTCCTGCACGGGAGAGAGGGGGGCTGTGGAGATGTGCGCTGAGCTAACGGCACAGGGGGGCGTTCCGCAGGAACAAGTAACATGGGGTTAAGGATGTCAGTTTCGATCACTGTAAAAAACACAAAATATTTCAGCGCTCTACTGAACAAGACCCACGTTAAAGGCATACAGCCTTAGCATCTTGGCAGCCTATCTGAGTGTGAGCCCTGGAGCCCCTCAGGACAGCACCATACACTGCCGGACAGGAGTCCACACGGCACCTCCTGCCACACGGATGCCCCTGGTGGGTCCGGCATGTGCCCTGCCAGGGTGGCCACAGATGGCCGCATGTAGATATTCAGTGCCACTCAGAACCGGAGACCGTGGCTGTGGGCACCACCCAACCTCAGCTCAGCTTCACTCCCGAGGGTACACTCACCCCGGGGCACACTCACCCCCCTAGGGCACACTCACCCCCCCCAGGGCACACTCACCCCCCCCAGGGTACACTCACCCCCCAGGGCACACTCACCCCCGAGGGCACACTCACCCCCGAGGGAACCCTCACGGGCCCAACAAGCTTCCTCTCAGAGGGTCCAGGAACGTTACCCAGCAGCACGAAGGGGGCTCAGGGGGCACATGTCCTTGCTCACAGGCACATGGGATGGGAACGCATCAGGGAAAGACTGGCTCGGGGCTCGGGCTCAGGGCTCGGGGCTCAGGGCGGAGCTGGCGGGCGCTGATTCCAGGGACATTGAGACGGAGGGGCTGTGGCGCCCCGGGAGGCAGGACGTGTGCTGCTCACCTTCACTTCCTTCAGGATGCCGCCGAACAGCAAGGAGCTGCTGCACACGTCCTCGAAGGCCTC